GAGACATCGATGTGAGAGAGAGATATTGACTGGCCGCCTCCTGCATGACCCTGACCAGGGCCAGGGATGGAACCGCAACTGAGGTATTGCCCTTGACCGGAATCGAGCCTGTGACTTTTTGGTCTGTGGGCCTACATTATAGCTGCTGAGCCAGACCAGCCAGGGCTGTTCTGTTGTTTTTTTCAAAAACCTGTTTGAATGAATTTGAATTAACAGTAAATCCTGAATTAAGCATAATCCCTTTGTTGCCTTCTATTAGGCATTTTTCTTCCACATGGAATTGTACCTTTTTTCAGAAAAACAAGTAGGTCACGTCCTGGCCGGTTTGGCTCAGTGGTTAGAACGTCGGCCTATGGTCTAGGGGTTCGGTTCCCACTAAGGGCATGTACCTGGGTTGCAGTTTGTCCCCGGCCCTGGTTGGGTTGTGCGGGTGAAAACCACTCGATGTGTCCCTTTCAGGTCGATGTTTTTCTCTCTCTCTCTCCCTCCCACTCTATCTGAACAAAAAATGGAAAAATGTCCTCAGGTGAAGATAAAAAAAAAATAGCCCTGGCCATTTTGGGTCAGCTGTTGAGCGTTGGCCTGCGGACCAAAGAGTCCCGGGTTTGGTTCCTGCTAGGGGCACGTACCACAAAAAACAAGTAGGTCACAAGATGATAAGCATATTAGCAAATTAGAAGGAAAAAGAACAGAATGAAGCCTTCCCAGAATTTTTAAGAAGCCATTACACATGCAGCCCTCTCTTTTCCATCATGGCATAATGCAAGGTGATGTGCAGAACCTGACTTCAAGAACTACCACAGGCACAGTTATCAGAGATATGCTTTTTTTTTCTAAATCGAACTTAGGAAAATGGGTTCAGACATCTTAAAAAGATTTTCAGTAATGAAGACTGAAACTAAAGGTATTTGGGATGAGCCAGGAAATTGCTAGCCACAATGTTTAATTCTCTAGTCCATGTGATTGAGTTTTTATTGAATCCATTTTAAAAATAAAATATATTGAGAAAAAAAGAGACATTGATGTGTTTAGATATTCTGATGTATTGAAAAGAAAAAAAGGAATAGTTCCTAAGGCATGGTTATATTTGCAAAAAAAGTATTCTTTGTAATGCCTCCAGCATCATGATTAATTGTACTGATGGTAGTTTTTGTCCATTATTCAAAAGGTTGGTTTTTTTTTTGTTGCCATCTCTTTAAATGCCCTTTTCTCTTTATTTCTATCCTTTCCTTCCAATAATTGCACAATACTCAATCACTGTTAACAAAGTTTAAAGGATTAAGGGAAAATTAGGGGATGTGCTAAATCACCTTGGCATTGGTTTTGTTAGTAAAATGAAACTGTTTGTTTTTTTTTTATCCTCACCCGAGAACAATTTTCCATTTTTTTGTTCAGATCGAGTGGGAGGGAGAGAGGAAGAGAGAGAGTGAGAAACATCAACGTGAAAGGGACACATCAAGTGGCTGCCACCCGCACAACCCAACCGGGGCCAGGGACAAACTAACCGAGGTACGCGCCCTTAGCGGGAACCGAACCCGGGTCTCTCTGGACCGCAGGCCGACGCTCTAACAGCTGAGCCAAACTGGCCAGGGCAAAACTGCTTTTTAAAGCAGATACCTGTAATTGGTACTACTGAAGGTGTTCTACTAGATCATGTCTGTCCCTAAGCCAGGGCCCAGTTCCACTTATAGAATATTAAGTTGTTGTTTCAGTCTATACAACACTGTTACAGTTTCCTAACTGAAAGGTAGGCAAGGAAACTGAACACCTTTCTCAATTTTTTTTTTTTTTTATCCTCACCCGATAATATTCTTCCATTTATCTCAGTGAGTTGGAGGGAGGGGGGGAGAGAGAGAGAGAGAGAAACATCGACTGGTTGCCTCTCACACGACCCTATCAGGGCCAGGGATGAACTGCAACCAAGGCACATGCTCTTGACTGGAATTGAACCCATGACTCATTGGTCCGTGGGCCGACGCTCTAACCGCTGAGCCAAACCAGCCAGGGCTGAACACTTTTCTTGAAAGATATTCTCATTTGACTCAGATATCTTTAGTATTTTTTGTAGATAGTTCTCCCTGCCTCAGCTTTCCATTATCATATAATAGAACTGTTTATTTAAGAAAATTTTGTTAGTATTAATGTAGATAAATTTTCTTGTACTTGTGTATCATATATGTTTGTGTTAATATAGATAGAATTTTTGCAATATGTGTATATCATATAATTAACTTACTTTGAATGTATACTTAAAATTTTCTTAAACATAAGACTTAATTTTTTTATTGTTAACTTGATTGTATTCTTTCCAATACTGCTTAGAAAATACTAAATTCAGCTTTGTTTCCAGTTAATTAGGGTACTAGCCAAAGTTAGAATATAACTTTCAGGAATATTTGAGTACCCCTTTTCATGGAAGACAGATAAAAATTATAAAGAGCTTTGTCTTTAATCTCTATAACATCAAGCATTTTATTTTATTTTTTATCCTCACCCGAGGACATTTTTTTCCATTTTCTGTTCAGATAGAGTGGGAGGGGGAGAGAGAGAAACATCGATGTGAAAGGGACACATCGAGTGGTTGCCACCCGCAAGACCCAACCAGGGCTGGGGACAAACTGCAACCGAGGTACATGCCCTTAGTGGGAACTGAACCCGGGTCTCTCTGGACCGCAGGCCGACACTCTAACCGCTGAGCCAAACTGGCCAGGGCAACATCAAGCATTTTATAAGTGGCAGAAGATTTTAATGTAACCAACACTTAGTTTTGTTGACAAGTTGTAATGCTACCTGATTTTTTTTTTTTTTTTTACACCTGTTATGTTTTTGTGGCTTTGTCCAGTATCTTAGAAATGTGCTTGTCTTGCATAAGTACTCTATTAAAACATTTTCATGACTAGCCTTGCCATTTTAGGTAAATCATTTTGAATTTTAATGAGTATTAAGTGAGGGTGAGAGTTAAATATGAAAGAAGTATAAGACCATGTCTTTATTTGTTTACTTACTGAGCAAATCTCATCTGTCAGACATTATATTGAACTTGAGGGGTGTAGATATGAAACATTTATCACTTATTAAGGAACATTTAAATTCTCACTCATAGTCTCTGGGGGGAAGTACAAGGAAACAGACTATTAAGACCACAGAAGTAAGACCTGAGGTGGTATGAACGAGGTGTTCCAAGATTGAGAAGGGAGGTGTTCTTAAGCCCATTCTTAAAGGACCAAAAATTATTAATCAAGTAAATGAGAGTGGGAATGTGACAGGCATTGCCAGCTGAGGAAACAGCACTTATAAGGATATGACCAACTTGGAAATTTTCCTAGAGTGTTAGTAATTATGGTTATGCCCCAGAAAAATTATTAGATTGAATAGTTATGGACTTAATTTGCAAGCTGAGTGAGAAATAGTTTAAATGTTTTCATTCTGGCTAGGGTGGGAGGACGGGGTCTTTTTCCTAATAGAGAGTTTCAGGTGTATCAGAGCAATATCTACATCAAGATTGGGAATGATGACAGGATTACAAATATATCTTGACCTTGATAGGTCTTTAAATCTATAGAATTTTTAGAAGGGAGAGAAGTCATCTTCATGGAAAAGGTATATTGTCTTATTCTGTCTCTGAGTACTCAAGAAAATACAATAGTGTGAGCCCTAGAAACAAGCTTTATTTTAGTAGCTACTAATATTCAAAAAGCAAAATTCATTTTATCAACTGTGTTTCATTGTCTGTGATGATCTGCCAGTAACTTAGCCAAAAACCTGGTCCAAAAAAGAAACCATGATCCAGTTTAGAGTATATAGGTAGTGAGAGACAAATATAAGAGCCACTCTCATTTTGTCATACCCTATTTTTGTTGTTGTTGTTATTGTTAATCTTCACCCAAGGATATTTTTCCATTGGGAATTGAAGCTGAGACCCTTCGGGCTGTGGGCCGATGCTCCAACCGCTGAACCAAACTGGCCAGGGCTGACCTTATAAATCTTTGATGGTGTCCTTGTCTTTGTGTATTACTCAGCTATAATAGGCAGACAACCTTTAGGGAGTTAAAGCAGTTTAGTTGTGTCTCCTGATAATTCTGATTCCCATGGTCTTGTTTGACTTTCCCTTTTTTGGTAAGTGCTGTGTTTCTTAAATATTTTTACATCTGCTCCAGAATGTAGCCTTAAAAAACAAAAAAAAATCTTGAGTTATTTCTTATATTAATTAAAAAGTGATTTCTACTAAAGTAGAGAAATCTTAATTAAGGAGGTTCTTTTGTGGAGATTCTGTCATCAATTCAGCAGTGTTTACTAAATGCCCAATATGTGCCAGGCAGTGTTGTTGGTTTTGAGTCTACATCAGTGAGTAAAATCATCTTAAATACTTGCCTACAAGGAGCTTACCTTCCATTGGGCAAGACAAACAATAAGTAAAATAAAAAACTGAATTTATAGTATGTTAGAAGGTAGTAAGTGTTATGTGGGGAAAGATAAATGGTAACACGGGAGTATTGCAGTAAGGATCGGGTAGTAATTTTAAATAGGGTGGTCAGTGCAAACCTCACTGAGAAAGTGACATTTGAACAAAGACTTAAAGGAGGTAATGGAATAAGTCTCATGGATATATGAGGGAAGAACATCCCAGATAGAGCATCCAGTGTAGAATTTTTGATTTGTGTGTGACCCACTTACGGTTGAGGAACAGAGAATCACTGTGACTTAGAGCAGTGTGCTGGGAGGTGACTATTAGGAGTTGAGGGCAGAGAGGTTGTGAGCATTGAGGAGCCTTTTTAGGCCACTGTGTGTACTTTTACACTATGTATAATTGAAAATAAACCCTGATAAGAGCAAGTAGGGTTTCTTCTTTAGAGATCTAGGGTCAGGAGAAGGAAAGCAGTCAGAGAAGGAATTTCTAGTCTTAGGATAGCATAAATTAATGTTGTATCCTAGACATAAGCATATAGTAAAATAAATAATAAGATTTTTTCTGATATTTTCTACTTTATTTTTGATTGTAGGGACTTTCAGTTACCTTGATGATGTCCCATTTAAGATAGGAGACAAATTCAAAACACCAGCTAAAGTTGGTCTACCTATTGGCTTCTCCTTGCCTGATTGTTTGCAGGTTGTCAGAGAAGTACAGGTAAGTGGTGATTTTTAGTTCAAGTTTAGTGCATTTAAAAATTTAATGAGTAAGAATTTGATGTATAGTGAAATAGAAACAAAATTCTCGTATTTCTTATTTGTATTTCTTACAGCTTCTGGTATTGCTTGGCTCACATTGTCTCTCACACACACGTTTGTATATCTATTACAGATCTTGTGTAATCTGTTAGATTGTATATTCCTGGGATTCTGTGCCCTGTCTGAAACAAATCCCCTTTGCCTGACTTGCTTATTCACCTCTTTTCCTTTTCTTTGTTAATATCCTCATTATCTTCTCAGTCACTCAAGTTAGATAATGTTTTTCTCTGCGGTGTCTCCTTTACTAGTCCATCCATGTTCCCTCCAAACTAGGTTACTAGCAATTTGTTGAACATACTGTGTATATTACTTGTCTACTATGCTTTTTCTCATGAGCTGTTATCTCCCTTGGAATATTGTTCTCTTTCTCATCATACTATAAGCTGTTTCTCTTCTAGAATTGTGCTGAAATGCCATCTCTTCAAAAGCTTCTTTCTCAACCCTCTCATCTTTAAAGTTCAGTTATATATAAGTGTATATATAGTATTACTTCTTGAAAGCAGTAAATAGCCCTATTTTATGTGACTTCCTTTCTTCCTTCAGTACACATTTATTGAATGCTTGCGTTTGAGTGGTGCTCTGCTAGGCTGAGGATAGAGAGAAATGCCCTAATCAGTGTCCTCAAGGAGCTTACAGTTTAGAGGAGTCAAGTGGAAAACAGTCAAGTACACTACTCATTCAAACACTTCTTGTGACTTAAGATTTTTTAAAATATACTTTCTGTCAAAGTTGATTTGTTTCTGGGGGATTTACTAAGGCATCAGCATGTTATTCTAAAAAGTATTCTTTGTGATATCTTTCAATCTATATGTAGTGGGTAATCATAGTGGGAATATTTCAGTTACATTTTCAAAGATAACAGATTTATTAAGATATAATTTACGTACCATAAAATTTACCCTTTAAAAGTGTGCAAACAAGTGGCTTTTAGTATATTCAGAGTTGTATAATCATCATTATGATATAATTCCAGAACACTTTCATTACCCCCAAAAGAAACCCAGTGCCCAATAACAGTCAATTCCTATTTCCCCTTCTCTCCCAGCACCTGGAAAACACTAAATCTACTCTCTGTCTCTCTAAATTTGCCTATTCTGGACTTAGCATATAAATGGAATAATGCAACATAAAGCCTTTTATGTGACTGGCTTATTTCACCTAGCATAATGTTTTCAACCTCCATGTTCTATTAATGAAATATTAGTACTTCATTTATTTTTATGGCTGAATAACATTCTATTGTATTGATAATACCATATTTTGTGTATTCATCAGTTGATAGATATTTTGGTGGTTTCCACTTTTTGACTATTAGGAATAATGCTGTTGTGAACATTTGTATACAGGTTGTTATGTGGACATATGCTTTCACTTTTCTTGGTTATATACCTGGGAGTGGAATTGCTGGGTCATATGATAACTACAACGTTTTGAGGAACTGCCAGAAGACTGTTTTCCAGGGTGGCTGCATTATTTTATAATCACACCCACACTGCATGAGAGTTCCAAGTTCTCCACATCCTCGCCGGCTCTTGTTATTTTCCATCTTTATACATCATTTTGCATTGGTCTTTTATTGTGGTTTTGATATACATTTCCTTAATTACTTCTGATGTTGAGTATCTTACATATTTTTGAATACTGAATTAATTGATATTCCTTTTGTATATGGAGCTTTTATTGAACCAGAAAAGATACTGATTTTTCTTACAAAGTTTTACCTTGTTTTGTTTGCCTGGTGACTTTTATTGGCAACAACAAATATTTGGTAGACACCTCTCTGTGTGCAGGATACTATTAATAGCGCAATATGATTAAAAAAACACCTCCTTCTTTCATTAGTTCTCCTATTGTTCACCACTTCATTGATCCATTCAGAAAACTTGTTTTGAATGCTGGGAATTTTCTTTTTATTTGATCAGTGCTGACTATACTCATAGTACCCACTAACAACAACAGGTGAGATCTAGGCTCTGAGTTCTAATCATGTGTGGGCCAACTGAAATTTTTTTGTTCTCTAATTGCAGATTAGCTTTAAATTTTGACTGCCTGGGGTCTCCATGAGGAATTTGGCTGTGGTATTGGTGCTAAACCCCTAGAGAAGAGTTTTATCTAGAACCATAGATAGCTAACTTAAAGCTTCCTATAACCTTGTCATATTTGCCCTTACATGGTAGTACAAACTCAGTTTTTCAGCTGAAAATTCATCAAGAGGAGCCAGTAAAAAAACATACATAACCCTTGCACCTAGGATCCAGAAACCTTTCATTAAATGTAATGGTGATAACCACAGTAGTAGGGGGTGGCCCCTAGTGTCAATGTTTAAGGTGGATTCTGGTGTCACTCATTCATGCCATGTAACTGTAATCTTGTAAGATTGCTTAAACTCTCCAATACTCCATTTCCTCATCTATAAAATGGAGATAACTAGTTTTTAAGGTTGTTTTAAAGATTTAATAAAATAATGCATTTATAGTGCATTTCAGGTACTCCATAAAGTTTTTGCTGTTATTATTCATTATATTACACTAAAACCACATTCTTATTTTTTCACTGTAATATTTCTGCTGTTATTTTCCTATATTTTTTCTATGTTCCACATATTCTACATTACTTTAGTAATTAAAAAACAAAAGTTAAGTAAAGGTTTTATTAAAAAGGAAAGAAATTTCCAATTATTTTTGGGAGTAAAACATCAGAGATCTGTGTGTTTACAGGCAGCAGGAAGTTGGTTACAGCCTCAGTTTTTGGTGAGGAAACCAGTTGCAAAATCGGATTTCCCAAATGCTGTTTTCTCACTGTGCTCTTAGTGGTAGAAAGGAAGCAGTGTCTTTCTGAGGCCTAGCAGCTGACTCGGGTATAAATGAACTTGACTTGTGCATTTTCAGGTTTCTCGTGTGTTGTTTAAAGCTGAAAAGCTTGGGAATGATCAGAGGTACTTTATTATGTTTCTTTTACTCTGTATTTCTTTTTATCCTTTCCCCCTCCTTTTTACTCTTAATGTGTCTCCAATCTTGAACATGCACACAGTACACTGATTAGCTTTGGTGCTTTAGGGTGAATACCAAAGGTCTTGTTTTCTCTGTCCCTAGGTGAATTTTGTTTTATATAATAGGTATATATTTTTTATGTGTGCAAATGAAATTTTTGTAAATTGAGCTATACTTTAAGGTATTGTTAAGGAACCATGAAGTAAATCTTTGTGCAATTTGCTCTGTAAAATCTTAATTTGAATGTGTCTAGATTTGTTAATAAGCAGTTTTCCTGCATTTAGAGTACAGTTTGTTCATTATAATTTGATAGAGGTTAAGAAGCACAGAATCTTTAGTCAGACTGCCTGGGTTCAGATCCAGGCTCTATTACTTAACAGTTTTTATTACCTTGGGCATTGCCCTTGGAAAGCAGGATAACAATAGTACCCACTTTAAAGAGTTGTTGAGAAAATCTAGAGAGTTATTGCATAAACTGTGCTTTGAATCATGTATGGTACCCTGTAAGTGCTTCTTAAATATTAGGGACTATTATTATTAAGCACATGATCTATTAGGGCATTGTGTTAGATAATAGAGACCTTAAGGCCTAAAGCCTAGTTTACTGCCCACAAGAGGCTTGTGATATTGTTGGGGAGAAAGATTAAAGCTACTTGTGATCACATGTGCTCTACATCAAATGATAGAGACAGATACTTTATAAGAGTACAGAGGAAGGAACAGGCCATCAGGGAAGCTTCATAGAGGAGGTGGCTAAGCTTTGAGCCACCAGTGAAGAATCCTAGGAAGGGAAATGTCATAGTAATGTCTGACCTGGTGCATAGGATTAGAGGTGATGGGAGCTCTTTTTAGTTAATTTCTAGAAGTAATCTGGGAGCATACTTTGATTAAATCCTATAAGATTTAATCCTCCTGAGTGCAGATCATCCATTATACCTTAAATGTAGAACTGAGGAGGGGCAGCCACCTGGGTTCACATCTCCTTTCTCTGATATATCTTTGCAGTATGACTTCTCCTTGGAAAAGAAAACCATTGAGTGGGCTGAAGATATTAAGAAAATCCAAGAAGCCCAGAGGGAAGCAGAATGCAAGGCTGAGGAAGCAGAAGCTAAAGTGAATTCTAAGAGTGGCCCAGAGGGCGATAACAAAATGAGCTTCTCCAAGACTCACAGTACAGCCACAATGCCACCTCCTATTAACCCCATCCTTGCCACCTTACAGCACAACAACATCCTCACCCCAACTCGGGTCAGCAGCAGTGCCACGAAACAGAAAGTTCTCAGCCCACCCCACACAAAGGCAGATTTCAATCCTGCTGATTTTGAGTGTGAAGAAGACCCATTTGATAATCTCGAGTTAAAAACTATTGATGAGAAGGAAGAGCTGAGAAATATTCTGATAGGAACTACTGGACCCATTATGGCTCAGTTATTGGATAATAACTTGCCTAGAGGAGGCTCTGGGTCTGTGTTACAGGATGAAGAGGTCCTAGCATCCCTGGAGCGAGCAACACTAGATTTCAAGCCTCTTCACAAACCCAATGGCTTTATAACCTTACCACAGTTGGGCAGCTGTGAAAAGATGTCGCTGTCTTCCAAAGTGTCCCTCCCCCCCATTCCTGCAGTAAGCAATATTAAATCCCTGTCCTTCCCCAAACTTGACTCTGATGACAGCAATCAGAAGACAGCCAAGCTGGCAAGCACTTTCCATAGCACATCCTGCCTCCGCAATGGCATGTTCCAGAATTCCCTAAAGCCTTCCACCCAAAGCAGTGCCAGTGAGTTCAATGGGCATCATACTCTTGGGCTTTCAGCTTTGAACTTGGACAGTGGCACAGAGGTGTCAACCCTGACCCCTTCTGATATGATCTCCCAGATGCCTTCCCTCTCTGTCTTGTCTGTGTCCACAGAAGAAACGTCACTTCCAAATACAGGTCCCACGGTAAGCCCTTTAAATCCCCCTAAATTAAAGCTCCAAATATTTCTAAATTCTACCTATCAGTTGCCACCCTCACATTCTTCTTTTCAAGGTTAAGGGCAAGATGGACGTGGCCAAATTGACCTTGCTTTTATAAGTGTATGTAGTTTTGGTTATTTTCCTGAGGACAAGGATTATTAGCTCTGCACCTACCCTGGTTAATGCAGGCTTGTTCCTGCCTGCATCTTTGCTCTTTTCCTTTGGAAAGATAATGTATGTCATGAGAATGAATGGTGTTTTCCTACCTAATCCATTTCTTTTCTGTGCTGCACATATTGTGTTTTCATTTTTTTAAAATCCTCACCCAAGGATATTTTTCTATTTATCTTCAGATAGAGTGGGAGGGAGGTAGGAAGCGGGGGGAGAGAGAGAGAGAGACATCGACCGGCTGCCTCCCGCATGACCCCAATCAGGGCCGGGGACCGAGCCACAACTGAGGTGCGTGCCCTTGACCAGAATTGAACCTGCACCTCTGGTCTGCGGGCTGACCCTGTAACTGCTGAACCAGATGGGCCAGGGCGTGTTTTCATTTTTTAAAGGCTTTCTTGGCTTGCCTGGTGTGGCTCAGTGGATAGAGCATTGTCCCATAGACAGAGAGGTCCTGGTTTAATTCCTGGTCAGGGTACATGCTTCGGTTATGGGCTTGAGCCCCACTGGGAGCAATAAAAACATATTTAAAAAAATAAAGGCTTTCTTTTTTTTGTAACTTCTAACCTTTTTCTATTACTTTTCTTCTTTTTTTTCCCCTCACCAGAGGACATTTTTTTTCCATTTTTTCTTCAGATAGACTGGAAGGGAGAGAGAGAGAAATACTGACGTGAAAGGGACACATCGAGTGGTTGCCACCCATAAGACCCAACCAGGGCCAGGGAAAAATTGCAACCGAGGTACATGCCCTTAGCGGGAACTGAACCTGGGTCTCTCTGGACCACAGGCCAATGCTCAAACCGCTGAGCCAAACTGGCCAAGGCTTCATTTTTTTAAGGTTGTTTGACACTCCTTATTTTATCTTCTCTCTACCTAGTTCTGCCTTGAAATTTGGTTCTTGTATGTACCATGGTTCAGCTAATTTGGGGTTGTTTCTTCAGAATGGGTGGTGCCTTAGTACCTGGGAGATAATTTGTATTAGAAGTCCAAGCAAAATGTAGAAATATGTTACTTTTAAACCCCATAAGTTTTAATACTATAATTTCTCCCCCCACCCACTCCCTCTCTCAGTAATTTTGCAGTTTTCTTCAAAGGGAGGGAGAGGGGAAGGTGGGAATTCAGATTTAATGTTGAAGTATGAAAAGTTGTATCTTGTATCGTCTTTTAGAAATTCTGGTTTTGTCACACAAAAAAGTTGCATATGCAGTGAGGTTACTTTGTCACAGAGTGTAGGCTTAGCTCTTGATGAGGTTGTTTTAGCAGCACAGAATATATGTTGGTATAGAAACCATAGAAGTCCAAGAACCTTTTGCTTATATCATTCCACATATTCTTAAAATGACAGTCTATCAAAGACAGTATTTAGAGCCAGAAAGGAGCCTAATTATATGGGATCTGTCTTAGACACCATAACAAGCCTGCTATTGGTAAAATAATGAGCCTTGGCCTGCTTACAGTGAGAGTAAGGTCCTAGCAATAGCATTCTTGGTAAATGATTGTCTCTATTAGTGCTTTTCATTGTCAAAGAGCTCACTGCTGCTTGTAAACTTCTGTGGACCTTGGCCCAGATAAATTCAATAGAGTACATAACACTCCAGTGTTACCTTATAGGAATGGGCTTTCATTCTAAATCCTCCTGGTTCATTGTTGAGCTGTGGTCCCCAGGATTTATGACTTATTGTATACTTAAGATAAATTAAAAGCACTCTGGGAAAGATTAGGAACCCTCAGCTACCTCCCCCCAAGTTATAGTACCACCCATTTAGATGAACGAAATGACAGAGGTGTTTCTCAAACCAGAACACTCATCTTTCTTTTACCCACCTGATTGTGAAATTTCTTTTGGATCCATTCATTTTAGGGTGGGAGGGACCCTTTTTGTTGCTGGCTTGGGGACTTGCTGCCTTCAAGTTGCAGACAGAAACAGGGTTGGAGTTCTAGTGTTCTTCTAAAGAAGTCATGATCCTTATCCCTAGGGAGCAAAGCCTGGTTTCCATCCTAGCCCTCTCTCTTGAAACCCACAGTGGAACCTTTCCTGTTGAGAGACACTCTTCTCTCCAGGAGAGGTAGTGATTTGAGGCCGGGGTGGTGGTGGTGGCGTGGTCATTTGGGTTGTACACACCCTTCATTTAGGAACTCCTGGGGAAATATTCCTGGAATGTGGTTCTTGTTGGCTATTTTAGGCCCAATGTTTGGGTCTTATTTTTCAGATTTTGATTTTGTGTATTAGTGTTTATATAAACTAATCTTAGAAGTTGAGAAATCCATGGGATCCTCTTGAGAGAACAATCTTATAACTGTGCCTTTTTCCTGAGTCTAGCATAAATCTGCCTGACCTAGTTCTAGCCAATGTTTCTCCCCACTATCCCCCAACTGTTCAGAGGCTTTGCTCTGTTTACAGGTTAGACTCATTCTACCACCATTGGGTTCTCTTTCTCTAGGTGTGGATACATTTTTCTTGTATAGTCACTTCAGCCTTTTCCTTTACACTTCTGAGTTCTCAATTTACTAAATTTACTAATTTAGGCCAATAAGCTTAAGAGTAGTGCCCGTTTTATTTTTTTCAATCCCTACCAGAGGATATTTTTCTATTTATCTTCAGATAGAGTGAGAGGAAGGGAGGAGGGAGGGAGGGAAAGACAGAAAGAAACAGACATCGATGTGAGAGAGGCATATTGATTGGTTGCCTCCCCCACGACCCTGATCAGGGCCAGGGCCAAACTGCATCCGAGGTATGTGCCCTTGACCGGAATCGAACCTGAGACTCTTTGATCTGCAGGCTGACGCTCTAACCGCTGAGCCAAACTGGCCAGGGCAGTGCCAGTTTTCTTTTAACTTGTATTTCAAAAAATTTTTGACATATAGAATCTCTCAGCATTAGGTATTCAAATCTGTTGATCATTTATTTCTTTTATTGCTATTGCTTTAATACAAAGTTCTTCATCTCTAGATTTAAAAAATTAACTTACTTTTATCAAAGTAATATAAGCACATTTTAATGAAATCAAGTAGCATTTTTTTTTTTTTTATCTTCACCAGAAGACATTTTTCCATTTTTTTGTTCAGATAGAGTGGGAGGGGGAGAGAGGAAGAGAGAGAGAGAGAGAGAGAAAGAAATATCGACATGAAAGGGATACATCGAATGGCTGCCACCCACATGACCAACCAGGGCCGGGGACAAACTGCAACTGAGGTACGTGCCCTTAGCAGGAACTGAACCCGGGTCTCTCTGGACTGCAGGCCGACACTCTAACTGCTGAGCCAAACCAGCCAGGGCAAAGATCAAGTAGCATTTAAAAGGCTTATATTGAACCACTGGCCAGGTGGCTCAGTTAATTGAAGTGTCATCCCATACATCAAATGGTTGTGAGTTCCATTCCCTATCAGGACACATACCTAGGTTGCTGGTTCCATCCCTGGTTGTGATGCATTCAGGGGACAACTGATCAATGTTTCTCTCTCACATCCGTATTTCTCTCTCTCCCCCCGTCTCTCTTTTCCTCGCTAAAATCAATGAAAAACATATTATGTGAGGATTAAAACATAAAAAAGAGGCTTATATTGAGAAACAGTAGCTCCCTGCTTCAATTCTCTCCAATGCCAGTTTTGCTTCTCGTTAGTAAGCTATTTCTGCTGGGATTTATCTATTTCTAAATAAAATTCTTATATTGCTTTTTCTAAATTTATCTATTTTAGACAGTTTTATACTACCTTTTATTTATTTATTTATTTATTTTTTATTTTATGAATTTTTATTTATTTTTTTGTTACAGATATTTTACCTTTTTACCCCATTGGCACCCCCCACCCCACCCCCCCTCCACCCTGTCCCCGGCTTAGTTGTCCATGTCCATTGGTCATGCATATATTACCTTTTATAGTTGCTGAGTATTTAGCTCTTATAGTAGTCCCATCTCCACCTTCTTCCCAGATCTGCTATCATATTTATATTACAAATTTTGGGTAAGTTGTTGTTCACATTATGATTGAGTAAATATGTATTGCCAAGTTCAGATAGTATTACTGTGGTTACATTTTTTTTTTTTTGCAGTTTTTTCTTTCTCATAAACTCCCCTATTTAAAAACTTTGCATACTTTCTTTGTATCTGTTTCTAATTTTGTTCATATGCTCCAAAGGACTTATCAGAGACTTTATAATTTTCCCATTCAGACATACTAGTTAACTTGTCAGTTTTTGAGTCCTTGAAATATCCAGAATGTCTTACTTTTACACGATCATGTGTGAATAATAGCTTGGCTGTATTTAGATTTCTTAGTTGATCATTTTCTTTTAAAATATTTAAGACATTTCTCCATTAAAAAAAAAAAACAGATTTACAAGCTCCACTCATTTCTAGTATTCCATAATCCTGTGCCATTCTAAATCATTCTTCCCATCCCACCCCCCAAGCTTTTGGGATTTCTCCCTTTATTTCTGGAGATTTGAATTTTACCACTGATGGGCCTTCTTCATTCATTGTTCTAGGTTCTTCTTGATCCTTTCAGACGAAGGCTCAGGCTCAGTTAAAAAATCTGGGATTATTTTTTTGGCTCAGGGTAAGGCGGGCACGTAGGATGTCTTTAATATTTTCCTCTGTTCAATTTTCTGGAATTCCCATAAGCTGGAGGTTGGATCTCCTTGACTGTTTTTCTAATTTGCCATCTTTTTCTATTTCCTAGCTCTTTGTTTTTGTTTTACTTTCTGGGATATACCCTTGACTGCCTTGTAACCTTTATTTTAAAATTCCAAGTGCTTTGTTGTTGGAGACTTGGCTTTCTATTCATGTTTAAGTGTGAGGCACTAAGCTCTGGCCGGTTTGGCTCAGTGGACTAGAGGGTCCCGGGTTCGGTTCCCACTAAGGGCACATACCTCGGTTGCAGTTCGTCCCCAGACCCGGCTGGGGTCGTGTGGGTGGCAACCAGTCAGTGTTTCTCTCTCTTCTTCCCTTTCTCTTTCCCTCTCTGTCTGGAGATGAATGCAGAAAAACCCGAGGCACTAAAATAAAAACAATCATAAAAGGGAATATGTGTGTTGGGCTGTGCTTGTGATCATTACACTTCACTGTAGGTTGAAGGTAATTGGCTTTGAGGCGAGCACTGCAAAATGTCAACATATGAAGGTCTTTGTGGCTGTTAATAGTTTCTCCAGAGAATTCTGCTTTGATGGCTAAGGAAGGTTGGGTAAGGTTGCTGTAGACTTCTACTTACTTTTTGGTTCTTATATCTCTCTACTGTATGCTGTGCCTGATGTCTTGTCTCCTTTTTGGTGTCTGGTTCACATTTCCTAGAAACTAAACCTGCCACCTGTAGAGGGTGAAGGTGGGTGGGAAAGGTATTGCCTGAGAGTTTTACTGCTCTGAGCACTGATTTTATGCTCCTGATTTATCCCAACAGTACCTTGTGCTTCTGAATACTAAACCCCTCCCAGGGGTCTTGAGGGGTTGGTGTACTGACACTCCTTTCTCTCACAATTTCATTGCTTCTGTCAGTTACCATGCCTCCTTTAGCTTCCATGTTCTGATATTTCATTGAATATATTTTCCCCTGCTGTTCCCCTTTTCTTTTGACTTTTTAAACATTAATAGTTTTCATTGTTTCATAGTTTCATTATTTTAGTGGGCTTTGGGGAGAGAAGATCAGTGCCATTTTGCAGTGTTAAGTGAAATTCTCCCTTTGAAATTCTAATAGACCTCTATTTTTCAACAACTTGATCAGAGCCCTGTAAATGCCAAGCCCAAAGCCAGGCCCCCAGGATTCAGAAATGCATGGTAACTAACTTCTAGGAGCTCACACTAACATACTTTGATGTGGCCCGGTATGGCTTAGTGGATTGAGTGTCATCCTAGACACCAAGAGGTCACTGGTTTGATTCCTGGTCGGGTACATGCGTGGGTTGTGGGCTGGATCCCCAGTAGGAGGCGTGCAGGAGGCAGCCAATCGATGACGTTTCTCTCTCATTGATGTTTCTATCTGTCTCTCCTCTCCCTTTTTCTCTAAAACTCAATAAAAAAAAAATTAAAAAAACAACAGCCCGACTGGTGTGGCTCAGTGGATGGAGCATTGTCCCATGGACTGAGAGGTCCCGGTTTGATTCCCAGTCAGGGCACATGCCTAGGTTGCAGGCTCGAACCCATCCAATTGATGTTTCTCTCTCACATCGATGTTTTTTTCTCCCTCCCCCTTCCTCTCTCTCAAAAAAAATCAGTAAAAACATTTAAAAACTAAACAATACATACTTTGATGTAAAAAGTACTGTGCCACCAGTGTGACCAAAATGTTACTTGGCTGTTGGTCTTCTTGTGCCCAGGCAGTCTGCCCCTGGAGAGATAATCTTGCAAAGTGGCCATATTGGTATAATCCAGTCCCCTTGCTCTGTAGTGACTCCTGTAATCCAGTGACTGAACCCTGTGACCGTGGGTTAGATGGTTAAGTGGAAAAAATGGGATTTGAGGCCTGTAGTCTTCTTGGCTTTTCCCAGCTGACTTTGAGGAAAGCATCTGGTTTTAGCTATATAATTTTTTATTATTAATCCTCACCTGAGGATATTTTTTCCATTGGTTTTTAGATAGAGTGGGAGGGAGGAAGAAAGAGAAGCATCGATGTGAGAGAGAAATTGATTAGTTGCATCCTGCACGACCCTGCCTGGGGCTGGGGATCGAACCTGCAACTCAGGTATATGCCCTTATCAGGGAATTCAACCCAAGACTCTGATCCATGGGCCAACGCTCTAACCACCAGGGCTTAGCTATATAATTTTGAACTTACTTTCAAGAGTGGACTCCCTGCCTTCTAACCCCACACCCCCATAAAAAAGGAAGTAAAGAAAACTGTGTTGAAACATTTTTCCTGATTCTTGGGAGGTGGGCCAAGCTGCAGAACAGCTTGTGACCTTGTTCCCATGGTAATTTGGTCCTTTTTGCCTTCATGCCTTGGGCCTGAGTCATTATTAGAAGTGATGGGAGGATTCTGTCCACCAGTCAGACTGGGGTTAGTAAGGTTAGGTGGCAGGGACCAGTGCCGTCCATATTCTAGTCCTTGACGGCACAGCCTGATGTGGCTAATAGTCCTTCATTTCTGGCTCTGTAGGACAGCAGCTGTAGCAGGGAATTGAAGCACAGTGTGGGGCAAAGGTAGAATACCCTCAAAGCTCTGGGTCCCTGAGCTGGCCATGTATGTGAACTGCACTCACTGTCTGCCCAGCCCAGTGATAGAAGTGAGGATAGAGACATTGTTGGGAGAGGCAGCTCCAGAGTTTGGGGTGTTTAAGGCGAATAATGATCCTTTCACAGCCTAGAAAAGGGACAATGGAGCCCTGGAGAGAAATCATAGCAGCCAGCTTGGGCTTCAGTCCTGTGGGCAGTCTCAGAACTTCAACTCAAGTACAGGGGTTTTGGGTATGGAAGGGCATGTGTCTTTCTCATTCTGCAAGGTGGGCAGAGGGCAGAGGACAACCACACTTGCAGAGATGTCTTCTTAGCTTCTCTCCCTCCTCAGCTGGAGCTCCTCTACCCCTCTTCATTCCTCTTCAGGATCTATCTCTGGCCAGCCTGGCCCTTTCATCCAGACTGCTTTGACTCGGGTTTTGATTAGTGTTAGAAATGGCAAGTCCCTAGACTGGTCCATTTCAGTGACATGTCCTATGGGGCCCAGATCTTTCTTCTTGCCTTGATCTTCTTGTTTCTTCACCACCAGGTCACACCTCCTAATTTCTCAGTGTCACAAGTGCCCAACACTCCCAGCTGTCCCCAGGCTTATTCTGAACTGCAGACACTGTCCCCCAGTGAGCGGCAGTGTGTGGAGACAGTGGTTAACATGGGCTACCCATATGAGTGTGTCCTGAGAGCCATGAAGAAGAAAGGAGAGAATATTGAGCAGGTGAGCATTTGGTTGGCAGGGTTGGTGGTTGGGGAGGTTGTGGGGGTGCTGAATGGTCAGCTAGCAAAAGGTCCCAGACCTCTGGAGCTAAAGTACTATCCTGCCTGTATCCTAGAGCCCCTCAGATTTATAGCACTGCTATCTGTTCCCATGAGTTTGTGGGGGACTGAGGGCACTTTGTTGCGGAAACCAGCAGCCCCAACAGCAGTATTTTTTGGGGGGGCTGCTCTGGAACCTAGGCTGAAGGAAAGCCTTGGGAGTATTGGAGTTGTTGGACTGTTATCCAACTGCCTCCTTTCTTTGCCTTTCTGAGAGTGCACCCTAGGGTTGAGGTATTGTCAGATTTTTTCTAGATAAACATTTCTGTTATAGCTGCCCAGGGAGTTCCAAAATAGTGTGTTAGAGTCCCAAATCTTAGGGGCATTTTCTGATATGAGCCATTTCTTAGAGGAATATCCTGCCCAGGCTGTGGAGTTACTATTCTGGATATATGAGTCAGCTGTGTACAGAAACTCCTTTGAAAAATGGCTACTTATGTTTAGAAGGGTGTGCCTGCCTGTTCAGCAGATAATCACAGAGGTCCTGCTGTGTTGGATACAGTTCAAAGCACAAAATCAAGTCTTGTCCAGGATCTAATAGGGTGGAGAACAGACATCACACTTGCAGATTTGTGTAAGACTCGGGAAATAGACAGGAGTGGCAGTAGGTGCTTAGTTCTCTTGTTTCTTTTCTTAGATTCTCGACTATCTCTTTGTACATGGACAGCTCTGTGAGAAGGGCTTTGACCCTCTTTTAGTGGAAGAGGCTCTGGAAATGCATCAGTGTTCAGAGGAAAAGGTAGGAACCTTCATGTTTCATGGGAACCCTCTGGAAAGGAGGGACAAAGTCCCCTGGAGCTCTCCCATGGCCCACAACCCCCTTTCCCTACCAGTGACTCCAAGCAGAGGCAGTTGAAACACAGACTCCCCCAAGTGTCCAGATGGGTGTTTGGCTCAGATGAAACATTGGATTGAAGACTATCTAGAATCCCAGAGAAGGGAAGGGAAAAAGTATGCAAAAAATATACTTTTGGTGGTTGGGAAGATTGTTAATCACTTTGCCTAGCCTTGTTGCCTGGAGAGTTCAGTATCCTGCCTTGGTAGAAGTATGGGTGTGAGTGATAGGACTAGAACAAAGGTTAGCAAGAGTTGGAGTTATGGCATCAACCTGTCTATTCCAGTTTCCTCCACAGCCCTCTTCTGCTTGCTAGGGGACCTCAGAGAGGCTCAGGCGAAGGATGCAGACTCCTCCAAGTAGCCCCCTAGTCGTGTATGTCTCCACTCAACTGTGAGGCCAGATTCCTTTCTTTAATCTGTACTCTCTTCTGTCCCTTAGATGATGGAATTTCTTCAGTTAATGAGCAAATTTAAGGAAATGGGCTTTGAACTGAAAGACATTAAAGAAGTTCTGCTATTACACAACAATGACCAGGACAATGCTTTGGAAGACCTCATGGCTCGGGCCGGAGCCAGCTGAGACCAGGCCCTGCTTAACACCCAGCCACGGAACCACCCCTGCAGGAGGCCCTGAGGAGCCCACCTGTAGGGAAGGAAAAGGGGCATATGTCTAGATTTTCTTTGGGGTGCAAGATCAGGTGTGGAGACTGTGCTTGCCAGTCTGTATGAGCCTAGCCCCTGAGCTGGGGAGAAAATGGGGGAAGATTTGGGCATGTGAATACCTTTAGAACTGTCCTGGCTCCTTCCATATGAAATGTATTTGTATTTTGAGAAGTGTCCTTCCCACTATGACCCCTCCAGAGAGATGTCTGGTTTTTCTGGGGTCTGTATGTTCTCAGCTGAAACCTGGCCTGGCTGCCAAAAGAAGGGGTGGAGGGCCAGATTCAGTGCTGCTCTGGGGCTAGATGCTTCCCTCCCCTGTACTGGTGGACTGAACTTTAATCCAGGTTGAGTGCAATTGAAAGGTTCTTCCAGGGTTCCCCCCACCCCCTTTTAACAAAGTTAGTGTTAACACTGGTTCTGCAATGTCACTGAGGTGCAAAGAATGCCCATTTCCCCATGGGGCCCTGAGTTTGCCTTTCTTTTGGTTTGGACCACAATCCTCTACCACCAGGATTTTAAATTTCCTGCTCTAGGAATCAGTTGTCACGTTAAGAAATTATTGGCCCCTTCCCAGCATAATGAGTTGGGGAGAAATAGGCCATGATTTAGTTGCCCAGCACTAACTCCACCTCAGTTCTTTGGAGAACAGCTCCTCCCACCAGCCCCCTGCTCTAGGATGACACAATGAATAACACCTAGTCATAGAAATCAGTCTCTTTGGTTTGTTTTGTATTATGCTGTACATCGTTAAAGATCTAAATACAAAGATATACAGTCTTGATGAATCTAAAATAATTTGCTAACTATTTTGATTCTTCAGAGAAAACTACTAATAAAAATCTAAAAGGTATGTCCTGCTATCATAATGTCTTCATTGTCAAGGGCTATTTTGGGGGTGGGGTGGGGTGTGTGTGTGTGTTTCTTAGATTTGCTGAGGATGAAACAGGACCTAATCATTTTCAGTCATTTCAACACTCTGGGCCTGTGGAACCCAGGAGCTGGCCCTCCAGAGTAAGGCCTGTTTCAACTCGACCTAGCTTGGTCTCTGGGCCAAGGACAAATGCCTTCCAGTGATCCCAGGCATTTATGTACTCTGTGCCACAGGCAGGACTGGATTCAAACTGCTTCACCAGCTCTCTCTCAGTGGTGCTGTTGTAGCTGACAGAACTGGATTTATCCCTAAAGTTTCTTGTCCTTATATTTAATACTGTCCCATAGTCCCATTGTGCTCTTGGCTGGAGGTGGGTTTCTAACTCTTTTAGTGATCACTTCAAGGACTGCAGTCTTTGGGCCAGGAAACACCAAGGTGGAAAGAGGCTGCCCTCTTGTGGTCAGATCAGGCTGGCCAGAGGTTGACAAAAAGTTGACAAAGGGTAGCAAGGGCTGTGGTCTTAAAAAGCCAATAGCCCTCTTTCTGGCCTCAAATTAATTAAGCCCTCCTTTAAAAGTTATTCTTTACCTGTAAAAAAATGAAGTTTCACAGCATAATGTTCATCAGGGCCAAGCCTGTGACACATGAATCTCAATTTGACCCAGGGTGGTCTTTGTTAAATGATGGGCCACCTAGAGGCCACTTTTGTAAGCTTCTTCCTGCTAAAAAGATAGACAGCAAGCACAACTCAAGTGAAGATGTGTGTGTGTGTAAAAATTCTGCTTCAGAGCCTCAGACTGTTGACTAGAACACTTAATGCCATGATATTGAACACAGGCTGTTTTGAGAGCGGGGAGTGGACTAGGGTGATTCTAGATGAAGGTGAGGCTAGGAGATGGACTTGCCAGAGAACCACAGCTCTTCAACTATTCCATGAGTGGGTGTGGTGGGTAAGGAGTCTCAGAGAAGAGCCAGAAACTGCCACAGGAGTATGAGGTCTATTGGGGCATATAAAAGGCTGACCATCCTAACAAAAGGCAGAGATGGAAAACGAATGGATTGCAGGAAGGGAGGCGAACTGAAAGCATTAAGCCTGTCTCACTGCTGCTGTTAAAGAAAGACATAGCAAGTCAAGGTTTATTCATTTTACATGTCAAAAGCTAACCTAATGCCCCAAATAATGGGGCACAGCTCACCCTGCCCCTACCCTACTAGCACCAATGTTTTAGTTTTTGGCCAAGTCCTCAGGACAGGCACTGAATTCACCTGATAAAGCTCCTGGGTTCAGCATGTTATCTTCCCCAGCTTGTGACCCCTGGCCTCTAGGTTACCGCTGACTACCGATACTCTTAATTTCAAATTCAGAAACATCTACAGGGTAATTATTAGACCCAAGTGTGTTTTCACAGACAAGGGGTTAGTAAGAAGTTCCAGCCCCAAAGAAGGGAGGGGCACATTAAGATGCTCCTGTGCTTGGAACTGAAGGATAGAGGTTTGTCCCTGAGAGAGGAGCTGGGGTTCAGCCAAGGCCATGTGTGGCTATGGAGAGACTAGCATAGACAGGATCAGGGAGTGGGTTCTAATATCTGCAGGCATAACCTGGCAGAGGCCCCTTTAGCCTCTGAGAACCCAGCACAGGCTCTTCAGCTGCCCCCACTACCCCATACTGGATCTTGCTCTAAGACACCGCTGTCCTCTCAGGAGCCTCAGATAGCCTGTGGCAGGCTAGGTATAGCTGCAGCTGGTTCCTCAGACTCTGGATGCACTTGGTTTTCATAACCATGATTTCATCCAACTGCGTGACAAAATCTTCAAAATCCTGAGATAGGAAACAAAGGACAAATGGTACTGTTGCCGGTCCTCTCCCAGATCTACTTTTCTCTTGCAGGAAAACTTGAGAGCCCAGGCCCCTCCAGCTGGAAAACCTGCAGGATAGTCACTATGGCACAGGGTGCGGCCCACTTCTCTGCATTTGAAACACTTTATATGTAGAGGTAATATAGTTTTCATGGTAAGGGGTGATTTTGAAGAAGTATCTCTGGACTGCATGTGACTTACTGTCACAAGGAGGAGCCCCAATAAGCCACTAGGAAGGCAGAACAGAAGGATAGAGGCTGGAAACATTTTAGCCTTGGAATGGGGAGTTTAGCACTATATCCCACCTGTTCTTACACTCCCTCAAGCTATCCCAGAGGAGTGGCAAGAGGAGGTCCAAGGCCTCAACAATGGTTTGAGTGTGACAACAGACCCTTACCCCACACCTAATCACAGCAAACACAGCTGACCATCGAACTAGCTACAGGCTAATTCCCAACAGCCCCTGAGTGTCCAGCCACAACCACTTACATTAGGAACCAACTGGTTCATCAGGGTCTCCTCCTTGAAGCCCAGCTCGGCCATTTCATTCAGCTGTTCCTGATGTGCTCGGATGACCACCTGCCTGGGAACACCAGAGGGGATGCTGTAAGCCTCTGGGCCTCCCATCTCTCCTGGGCAGCTTTTTGGAGCTGAGCCCATTTCCAAGTCAGAAGCTGGCTCTGCCCGAAGTAGTAAAGGCATTGACCAGGACCAGCTCCCTTGACCTCCCCCTCACCTATTCTTAGGACTAATCAAGGGACTAGAAAACACCACTGAAATACTGGGGGGGAGAGGGGCTTCTGGAGCTATTTCCTACTTCCTCAAGTACACTAAGGGAAGCTGCCCACAGCTTCTCTGCATAAAGGCTCAAGGCTGTGCCACTGCAGCTGACATACTTGGCACAAGGTAGAGCCTGCTGCCTAGCCTGCTGTCATTTCTACTTACGGGGGTTCTGGGACCAAAGCAAGGGTGTTTGAGTTAGAAGCCAGAAGATCAGCCTTTTGTCAGGCCCTAGTGATGGGTAGAAACCACAGAGACAAGACTGTCTACCTGGGAGAGGCGGGCCCCTCACCTGTACACCCCTGCATGTCCCTCCTTATGTCCATGGCCCTGGCCTGAGCACTAGTGAACAGCAGGTAGACAGCTGGTCCGGATATCAGGAGCCCCAGCAAAGGACTGTAGCCTCATAAAGGAAGTATCTGTTCCCACAGGCTCACCCTGCTCACCATCTCTCCACCTCCTTTTTTCACATCTCTAATGCTGCTGTCTCATCTCTGCTGCACCATCCACACACAGCATCCTTTGGGGAAAGCAGCACAACCCCTCGCCCCCACCATTTTTTTACCTTCCCTGTCTTGGAAGGGCCCAACCTGTTTTAGCTCTGGAGGCGCAAGGCCACAGCTACTGGGTACCTGGGCGGCGCTTCTAGGAATACAGTATAGACCCAAAAGAATGAAGAGGATTCTGATTTCACCAGAGGTCATAGGTCTACTTACAGGGACAGATCCTCCCTCCTCACTCACATCTCAGCTTTCCCAGGCAGAGGGTCCACTCACCCTGGCAGGCTTGCTCCAGTACGTTTTATTCCTGCTATTCATGTCAGATGCATCTAGGCAGAGACTCCCTTGAAAAGCTGGACAAAGCCTTTCTCTAGTCGCAGTACAGCTCTGACACAGCTAACCATAGCCATTCCCAGAACAGGCAGAACATTAAATTAAGCTGGGTGGAAGGAGTGCCAAAGGGGCTCAAGTCTCAGGAAGAAAGTCAAACTTACTGTGCGTGCCCCAGGGAGGGCTGCTGCTGTGTTCCGGCAGTCTTGGGAGGGAAGCTGGGAAGCAAGGGAGAGCCTGGCCTTGCTAAGCACCTTTGGATTGGCCTGTGTTTGAGCCATGTGATGTCCTCATTGGAGCAGGGCAACTTGATGGAGCCCATGGACAAATCCAGCTCCTGCCAACCAGGCTCTGCCAAATGCTTTCCCTCTTGAGCCCAGGGCTGGTCAGCCACGTCACTGCTTCCTATTTGTGGGGCAAGTGTAGGCTCACAGTGGGGTCCTCCATTATGTGTGGTGGGGAAGGGCTTTCCTGGGAAACACTGGGAGCTGTTCAGCTCTGTTTCCTCAGCATCGGCATCATATTGCTCACTAGCCACATACTCCTGGGAGAAAAGTGCAGTCTCTCTCCTCTGGTTGACCTCCCCCAGGTCAGCCTCCCTGTTGGGTAGCTTGTCAGATGGGTGCTGATGGATGGGTGATGGGGACAGAACTGGAAGATCAGCACCAGGCTTATTGTCAGGGGGAGATGACGAGAGCCACAGGTGCCCACTTGCCAAAGACACTGGCAGGACTGCCTCTTGATCACCAGATGACACTGTGTGGCTCACAGCTGGCCCCCCTGTGCTGACTAGGCTGTTTGTAGCTCCATCCTGGGACAGCTGGTCCAAGGGATGAGAGCCCTTGTCGTCTGGGATCTCCAGGAGAGACACAGTGAGGGGAGCCATCAATCCAGAACCATATTCAGAGCACGTGCCTAATTCATCTCTAGAGTCTTCTTGGAAAGGGCTACTGTTTCGTATTGTTCTAGTTGCCACATTTGGGCTGTCCTTGCTTAGTTCTATCAGAGGTGTGCTGACTGCGTCTCTTTGGTCTGGGGATCCAGGAATTGCAATGAGGGATAGAGAGAAAGTGAAACCATCTTCCTTCAGGAGTGGCAAGCTGCCCTCAGCCTGCCGGGGAACTTCACTTCTGAAAGCATCTTGTTTGAGATCAGAGGCTAAGCCACCACCCCTTTTCTGGTTATATACAAAGTCTACCTGTGAGCAGTATGGCTTCTCTGTCAGTTTGTCTCTGGGAGAAGGTCCTGAAGAGGTACAGTCCTCTTCTATGCTCCAGTCCGAGGGCACCTTACTTGGGCTGTGGCCGTGATCAATTGCTGCTCTTTTGTGGCTTGTGGGATCCCTGGAGTACATCCAGCTTCCAGTTAGATCCTTCTCATCACTATCTAACCTGGGGCTAAAAACCAGACTCTGTTGCCTTTCATCCACCTGCTCCTCGGGACCTTGTTCCCTCTGATGAAGGAAGAATGAGCCTTCACTATTCTCCAGGATGTTTCTGTGCTTTGTGGTCCTCTGACTAGAGACATGTGAGAAGGAATCTTCACTGAAATCACTATCATCAAGGTCCTCAGCTTGCACTCCATCATGACTCTCAGAATAAGAGTGCAAGGGAGGAGGGGTCTTATTCTGGAACTGTCCCTCTTGGGGCCTGTACTGGCATAACAACCTTTCTAGTGGTTGGTACTTTAATTTCTGCTGGAGGAGAGGTGGCTGCTGGAACTGCTGGTGATAAAAGCGCAAATGTTCCTCCCTTTCCTTCTGATGTGGAGGGATGTTTGTCCAAGCTTCAGAGGCAGGCCTGGCAAGTGTGTCCCCCTTGCTGCCCTGACTATACTCTGCTAAGTGGTGGATGTTGCCAAAGAACTCAACTCGTGACACAGGCTGCTTTTGCACTGGCTGCACAGTCTGCACTTTCTTGTATTTGGTCAGCTTACCATGCGCCAGGTCTTGTCCTGGGCCAGGGACCCTGCTTCCCCACCCAAGGGCAGTTTTGTTGCTGATTTGACTTTTCTCAGAGCACAATGAAACTGACTCTTCTTCCTTTTTTTTGGCTAAATGTCCAGATCGCATGGTTCCTTTGACAGGGCTAGTCTGAATGATCCACTCGTGAGGAGGACTCCCTCTGGAACCGCCCTTTTTACCAGGGACTTTAGGTACAGGAGTAAAAGGGATGTTAGGTGGGTGGCTGGCCAGGGGATGGGCCTTCCCTCTCGTGGAGCCAGGTGCCACTGTGAATGACTGCTGAAGCCCCAGCTTGACTTTTTTTGGAGAACACTTGTCCCCTGTCAGGGATACAGGGGAGTTCTGAATTCGTTTTGGAGAAGAGTTTCCAGATGTTCGATTTCGACTGGCAGCTGAAGTGCAACATCTGATGCCTTTCTTTAGTTCTTTGACCCTGTAAATGATCATTTTATATTAAATGTGATTCTTCATGTTCTATAATTCCTTTTCTACAGCTTTCAGGGAAAACAAAACCAAAGCAAAGTATTACAAAGATTGGGAGTTATTATTTTTTAATCTGATAGAGAATAAGAAAAAAAAATGGGGAGATTCTATTTTAACATGAGATACCTCTCTTTACTTGAACAAAAAAGACTAATGTCTTCTCTGAGGATATAAGCATGCACCCAACATTCCACAATCAGAAGAGTTTTGGAAATCACCACAGTCTCATGTGAGGGACAGGCCAGAGGAGCTAGTGTCAGAAATGCACTACGTCTAAGCAGGGCCCACTCCACACTTCCTGAAGGTGGGCCAACTCAGGAGCTTCAGGTCCCCCATTCACCCATTCACTATTCCACAAACAGAACCCTCTTTTCCTGAAAACCACCTACGTTCAGGCTTCTGAGAAAACGAGTTCACTCAAACCTGCCGGACATTTCAGGAAGCAAAAGCCCCATGGAAATAAGCAGGCTTATGCTAATACCATTAAGGGAAAAATGACACGTCTGTGTATTCCCAGGTTTCTCAACCTTAGCATTAGTGGGATTTGGGGCCAGGTAATTCTTTGTTGTGGGGGGCTTTCCTGTGCAGTATGGGATGTTCAGCAGCACTGTTGGCCCCTACCCACTCAATGCCAGCAGACTTCTCCCCAGCCGAAACAATCAAAAGTGTCTCTGGAAATTGGCAAATGTACCCAGGGAGGCAAAACTGCCCCCCAGATAGAGAAATAGAAGACCTTGCTCTATTCCACAAAAAAATTTTAGAGAACATAGAAAAATCCAGAATTAGGTATCTGCTGAGATTCAGTTGCCAAGATCAAAGTCTCTTACTCTGTGATACTCAACACAAAAACACTATAAAAAATTGGAATTTCAAGTAGAAACATAACTCTCCAGTGGTTTAAAATTCCCTAAGAAGGAGCAGTGCTTCTACTGGGGGCTCTTGGAAAATGTCTTTTCCATTGTTTTGACTTTAATCCAATCCTCAATGGGGGGCTAAATGACCCCTCTGGCCATTTCTGAAAACCAAGATAGTAAATCTGACACTGAATCTTGATTTGAATCTTCTTTTAGGTCTGAGAAACAAGGCGGGTTAGATAACAGCTAAGCAAAGAGATGTAGCAAGACAAGAATTGTTCCATGGATGGGCCTTTGCTTAGGCGTTGCAGTAGGGCATGAATA